GATGAGGATGGGAATGGCATTGATGAGGGATGAGGATGGGAATGGCATTGGTGAGGGATGAGCATGGGAATGGCATTGGTGAGGGATGAGCATGGGAATGGCACTGGTGAGAGATGAGCATGGGAATGGCATTGATGAGGGATGAGGATGGGAATGGCACTGGTGAGGGATGAGGATGGGAATGGCATTGGTGAGGGATGAGCATGGGAATGGCATTGGTGAGAGATAAGGATGGGAATGGCATTGGTGGGAGATGAGCATGGGAATGGCATTGATGAGGGATGAGGATGGGAATGGCATTGGTGAGGGATGAGCATGGGAATGGCATTGGTGAGGGATGAGCATGGGAATGGCACTGGTGAGAGATGAGCATGGGAATGGCATTGATGAGGGATGAGGATGGGAATGGCACTGGTGAGGGATGAGGATGGGAATGGCATTGGTGAGGGATGAGCATGGGAATGGCATTGGTGAGAGATGAGGATGGGAATGGCATTGGTGAGAGATGAGGATGGGAATGGCATTGGTGAGAGATGAGGATGGGAATGGCATTGGTGAGAGATGAGGATGGGAATGGCATTGGTGGGAGATGAGCATGGGAATGGCATTGATGAGGGATGAGGATGGGAAAGGCACTGGTGAGGGATGAGGATAGGAATGGCATTGGTGAGAGATGAGCATGGGAATGGCACTGGTGAGGGATGAGGATGGGAATGGCATTGGTGAGGGATGAGCATGGGAATGGCATTGGTGAGGGATGAGCATGGGAATGGCATTGGTGAGAGATGAGGATGGGAAAGGCATTGGTGAGAGATGAGGATGGGAATGGCCCCAGTGAGGAATGGGGATGCACTGGTGAGGAACAGGGAGAGGGATGTCACCAATGAGGGGTGAGGACACAGGAGTGATGGACGGGAATGGGGATGGAATATCACAGGTGAGATGGGCGGATGCACCAGTGAGGGATGGGGACGGGGATGTCACTGATGGTGACTGAGGACACACCAGGGAGGGGTGGGAATGTCACAGGAGTCAGGGGAAAGGATGTCGCTGGTGAGGGGTAAGTACACACTCGTAATGGATGGGGATGGGAATGGGAATGGAATGTCACGGGTAAGATGGGAGGATGCAGTGATGAGGGACAGAAATGGAAGCATCACTGGTGAGGGCTGAGGACACAGTGGTGATGGGTGAGAACACGGTGGTGATGGGTGAGAACACACTGGTGTTGGATACAGGAGCATCACTGGTGAGGGCTGAGGATGCACCAGTGATGGATGGGGATGGGAATGTTGCCAGTGGTGGTTGAGGTTGCGCCAGTGATGGATGGGGATGGGAATGTTGCTGGCGATGGGTGAGGATGCACTGAGGATGGATGGGGATGGGAATGTTGCCAATGATGGGTGAGGATGTACCAATGATGGATGGGGATGGGAATGTTGCCGGTGGTGGTTGAGGATGCACCAGTGATGGATGGGGATGGGAATGTTGCCAGTGGTGGTTGAGGATGCACCAGGGATGGATGGGGATGGGAATGTTGCCGGTGGTGGTTGAGGATGCACCAGGGATGGATGGGGATGGGAATGTTGCCGATGATGGGTGAGGATGCACCGGGGATGGATGGGGATGGGAATGTTGCCAGTGGTGGTTGAGGATGCACCAGGGATGGATGGGGATGGGAATGTTGCCAGTGGTGGTTGAGGTTGCGCCAGTGATGGATGGGGGTGGGAATGTTGCTGGCGATGGGTGAGGATGCACTGAGGATGGATGGGGATGGGAATGTTGCCGATGATGGGTGAGGATGTACCAATGATGGATGGGGATGGGAATGTTGCCGGTGGTGGTTGAGGATGCACCAGTGATGGATGGGGATGGGAATGTTGCCGGTGGTGGTTGAGGATGCACCAGGGATGGATGGGGATGGGAATGTTGCCGATGATGGGTGAGGATGCACCGGGGATGGATGGGGATGGGAATGTTGCCAGTGGTGGTTGAGGATGCACCGGGGATGGATGGGGATGGGAATGTTGCCAGTGGTGGTTGAGGATGCACCAGGGATGGATGAGGATGGGAATGTTGCCGATGATGGGTGAGGATGCACCAATGATGGATGGGGATGGGAATGCTGCTGGCAATGGGTGAGGATGTACCAATAATGGATGGGGATGGGAATGTTGCCAGTGGTGGTTGAGGATGCACCAGGGATGGATGAGGATGGGAATGTTGCCGATGATGGGTGAGGATGCACCAATGATGGATGGGGATGGGAATGCTGCTGGCAATGGGTGAGGATGTACCAATAATGGATGGGGATGGGAATGTTGCCGGTGGTGGTTGAGGATGCACCAATGTTGGATGAGGATGGGAATGTTGCCGATGATGGGTGAGGATGCACCAATGTTGGATGGGGATGGGAATGCTGCTGGCAATGGGTGAGGATGTACCAGTGATGGATGGGGATTGGAATGTTGCTGGCGATGGGTGAGGATGCACTGAGGATGGATGGGGATGGGAATGTTGCCAGTGGTGGTTGAGGATGCACCAGGGATGGATGGGGATGGGAATGTTGCTGATGATGGGTGAGGATGCACCAGGGATGGATGGGGATGGGAATGTTGCTGATGATGGGTGAGGATGCACCAATGATGGATGGGGATGGGAATGCTGCTGGCAATGGGTGAGGACGCACCGGTGATGGACGGGGCCAGGCCATCACTGGTGAGGGCTGAGGACCCCGGCGACCCTCTCCCCACCGCAGTGCCCTGCACACCAGTGGTGCGGAGCTGCCTGCGCTGGCTCTGGGCGCCGCACCGACCCCGTTATCCCCCCGTTAATCCCCTTCATCCCTTGCCCCAGTGCCGGCGGCGCTGACGCTGGACCCCGGCACTGCTCACCACCGCCTCATCCTGTCCGACGACTGCACCATCGTGGCTTACGGCAACCTGCACCCGCAGCCGCTGCAGGACTCCCCCCGCCGCTTCGACGTGGAGGTCTCGGTGCTGGGCTCGGAGGCTTTCGGCGCCGGGGTGCACTACTGGGAGGTGGTGGTGTCCGAGAAGACGCAGTGGATGATCGGCTTGGCGCACGAAGCCGTCACCCGCAAGGGCAGCATCCAGATCCAGCCCAGCCGCGGCTTCTACTGCATCGTGATGCACGACGGCAACCAGTACAGCGCCTGCACCGAGCCCTGGACCCGGCTCAACGTCAAGAGCAAGCTGGAGAAGGTGGGGGTCTTCTTGGACTACGACAAAGGGCTCCTCATCTTCTACAACGCCGATGACATGTCCTGGCTCTACACCTTCCGGGAGCGCTTCCCCGGGAAGCTCTGCTCCTATTTCAGCCCCGGTCAGAGCCACGCCAACGGGAAGAACGTGCAACCCCTCCGCATCAACACCGTGCGCATCTGATGGGGGTTGGCTCCGTGTGTGTGTGTGTGTGTGTCCCCTTCCCAATGGGTGTTTTCCTGCTCTTTGGTGGAGGTTTCGGGCCCATCCTGCCCCAGGAACTGGTGCTGGCACTGGGCAGGATCTGGCTTTCCCCCCCCCACCCCACACCTCCTGCTTTGTCCTGTGCTTCCAAGGAGGAGCCCGGTGGGGGGGCCTGGGCTGCTGCAATAAAGGATTTGGTGAGAAGGGGCTGGGTGATGGAGATCATCCCCCCCCCCCCCAACCCTGCCCCGGGCATCCTGCGCTATGGGTACTGCACCGTGGGGCACACGTCTGCTGTGCCATAGGTACTGCACCGTGCCGTGGGGGGCCATGGCATCAGCTCTGCACCGGGTATGGGGCACTGTAGGTACTGCACTGTGCTATGGGGTGTGGTGCCATGGGGGGCCATGGCATCAGTTCTGCACCGTGTATGGGGCACTATAGGTGCTGAACCGTGCCATGGGGGGCCATGGCATCAGTTCTGCTCCATGTATGGGGCACTATAGGTACTGCACTGTGCTATGGGGTGTGGTGCTGTGGGGGGCCGTGGCATCAGTTCTGCACTGTGTATGGGGCACTATAGGTACTGCACTGTGCTATGGGGTGTGGTGCCATGGGGGGCCATGGCATCAGTTCTGCACCATGTATGGGGCACTGTAGGTGCTGCACCATGCCATGGGGGGCCATGGCATCAGTTCTGCACTGTGTATGGGGCACTATAGGTACCGCACCGTGCCATGGGGCATTGGGATGTGCCATGCCATAGGTTCTGCACCATACCATGGGGCACTGGTGTGTTCAATGCTATAGGTGCCAGTAGGAGCTGTGGGGTGCTGGGGTGTGCCACGCCATGGGGCGTTCGCCATGCACTGTGTGGTTCACTGCGCCATAGGTACTGTGCTGTGCCATACTGTGCCTCAGCTCCGGGTGCACCGGGGGGCTCTATAGGGGAGGCTGCCTGTGGGGCTGGGCTGTGTGTGAGACACAGTGGGGAGGACTGGGCAGCCCTGCTTGGGGTTGGGTTGATGTATAGGGGGGGCTGTGTGGGGGCTCTGTGGGAGGTGTGATGTATTGGGGGGGCTATAGCAAGGGTGTGATCTATAGGGGTAGGTTGGGTGGGGGGTGCTTTATCTGAAGGTGTAATCTATAGGGGGCTCTATAGGGGTGTGATGCATAGGGGATGTGATGTATAAAGAGTACTTTATAGGAGGTATGATGTATGGGAGGTCTATATAGGGGGTGGGATTTAAAGGGGCTGTGGGGGGATGTGATCTATAGGGTGTGATCTTACAGAGGCAGGTTGGGTTGGGTATCCAGGGGTTGTGATATATGTGTGATCTATAGGTGGGCTATGGGGCTGTATAGGGGGCGATGTGTATAAGGGGTACTCTATAGGGCGGGGCGTGCAAGCAGGGGGTGGGGTGTATGGAGGGGGTATATATGGGGTACGATATATAGGGGCTGGGGGGTGTGGTGTGTGTCCTCCCGCCCGCCAGGGGGCGCGTTCGCGTGCCTGGCTCAGGCTACTGCGCATGCGCGACTGGACCTGGGGAAGGCGGGCAGGGACGGGCACAACGGAGGCAGTTCCGCGCGTGCGCGGGGAGGCGGGGCCCGCGCCGCCGCCATCTTGCCCCGGGAGCGGGCCCGCCGGTACCGGGGGGGGGCTGAGGGGCACAGGGGGGGCCCTGTGGGGCTGAGGCGGGGCCTATAGGGGGCTACGGGTCCTATAGGGGGCCGCGGGGCCTATAGGGGGCCGCGGGGCCTATAGGGGGCTGCAGAGCCTATAGGGGGGTGTGGGGCCTGTAGGGGGCTGCGGGGCCTATAGGGGGGCGTAGGGGCTGCGGGGCCTGTAGGGGCTGCGGGGCCTATAGGGGCTGTGGGGCCTATAGGGGCTGCGGGGCTCTGTGGGGCCTATAGGGGCTGTGGGGCGATGGGGACGTGTGTGGTGCCGTAGGAGCGTGTGGGTCTCGGTCTGTGTGACTGGTACCTGGTGTTGGAGGGGCGGTGCTGTGGGGCCCATGGGGCTGCCGTGGGGGTAAGGAGCGGTGTGGGGTGGCTCGGTGGTGACCCCATCCCCTTCCCCTCACACCTCCAGCCATGGAGGCGGGCGCGGGCGGGCGCAAGGAGCGGCCGAAGCCGCGGGAGCCGGCGGCGCGGCTGGAGAGGGCCCGGCAGAGGGCGGCGCAGCAGGAGCTCAAGCAGCGGCAGCGGGCGGAGGTGGGCACCGGCCCCCCCTCATGTACCCCTTGTGGCCTCCCCTCTGCCTGTCCCCCCCTTTTCCCCGTCTTTGTCTCCCCTTTTTCCCCCCTTTGACCCCTCCTTTTCTCCCACTTTGCCCCCCTTGTTCCCCTCTTTGCCCCTCCTTTCCCCCCCTTTGTCCCCTCCTTGTCCCTCTTTGTCCCCTTCTTTGTCACCCCACTTTCCCCCCTTGTTCCCCCTTTTTGCCCCCCCTTTTGCCCCCTTTTCCCACTCTTTGTCCCCCTCTTCCCCCCCTTTGTCCCCCCTTGTCCCCCCCTTGTCCCTTGCTTCCCCCCCTTTCCCCCTTCCCCCCCTTTTCATCCCCTTGTCCCCCCTTTGTTCCCCCACTTTCCCCCCTTGTCCCCCTTTGTCTCCCCTTTTCCCCCCTTGTCCCCCTCTTTGTCCCCCCTTTTTCCCCTCCTTGTCCCCCCCATTTGTCCCCCCTTTTTCCCCCTTGTCCCCCTCTTATCCCCCCTCTTGTCCCCCCTTTGTCCCCCCTTTTATCATCTTTCCTCCCCTCTTCCCACAGATCTATGCCCTGAACCGGGTGATGACGGAGCTGGAGCAGCAGCAGTTCGACTCCTTCTGCAGGCAGATGCAGGCGTCGGGCGAGTGAGCCCTGGGCCCCCTCCGACCCCGCGTTATTTATTAGCAAAGAGCCCCTTGGTTTGGGTTTTTTTTCTAAATAAACCCTGTGCTGGTCCCGTGTGGCTCCGGTGCCCCTGGGAATGGGAATGGGAAGCGCCGGAGCGGGGCCGAGTGCCAGCGCAGCTGCAGGCACCGGCTCGAGCTCCCGGTGCTGGGATCAGGACATGGGGCTGGATCCAGCTGTTGGAGCCTCCCCGGGGATCCCGGTTGAGCTTTGCTTCCATCCTCCTCCTCCAGCGTTCCAGAGGGTTTGGATCCGTGGATCTAAACCTCGCTTCCCTCCGTCCCAGTCCCACCTCACACTGAAGGGGGGGGATCAAACACGTTTGATGGGTAAAACCATAAACCCCAACGTGCTGCTGGTGACTTGGGTGTCAAAATCCCTCTGGGCATTTAGGCAGTGGCTTCCTCCCCTCCAGGGAAGAGTCTAAGAGTCTTCCTCGGATTTGGAGGTGTAAATCCCCCCCCTTGTGATCCATTAACAGCACACGGTGGGAGTGATTCCTAAATTTGATGTTACCCCGCACAGGGAAGGGGTTTGGGGGTCTCTGGAGTGGGTGATGGGGGTTCCTTCGTCCCCCATATGAGGAGTGGGGCACGTGGGGTGTGCTTGGGGCAGAGTTGTTCCTACAGCTCCGGTTCTTCCCTTTTCTAAACAGGGTTGGATATGGAGAGGAATGAAGGGAGATGCTGGTGGAGGAGGAGGTGGAGGAAGGCTTTAGTAGGCGTTAGGCAGGGGTTGGACTTTGCAGCTCCAGATGGCAAAGGGGAACACGATGTAGGACATGGACCAGGCGAGGCAATAGATGGAAGCCACCGTGGCTGGCGAGAAGAGGACAGCAGCCACCCCTGCGGGTTGGGAAGAGCCGTTGGGATCAGCCCTTTCCTCCTCCTCCTCCTCCATCCCAGCGGGGTTTAACCCCTCTCCGTGCTTCCACCCCATTTTTACCTCCAGCATAAACCACTTTCTTCCAGAGCTGGGACTCCAGCACCTTGTCATGGGGGTAGCAGCCCCGGTCCAGCATGAAGAGGATCATGATGCCAGCGGTGACCCGCAGCAGGGCAGCGTTGCCCCCAGACAGCAGGAAGGTGCTCGCCAGCAGCGAGGATGCGTAGGGACAGGGCAGCCCCCGGTAGGTGAAGGGGATCCCTGCCGGGTGCCACACATTGAGCCAGGAGGAGGAATCACCCCCAAACCCTTTCTTAATGCCCCTTTCCCCCCCCCAAAAAACGCTCATCTTACCGCTGGTGAAAAAGCAGAGGCGGGCGAACACGGCCAGCACATAGGCGAGGGCCAGCGCCCCGCTCAGCACCCCCTGCGGCTGCAGCAGCAGCGCCGTGGCCAGCCCAAACGTGGTGAAATCGGCAAAATCATCCAGCTTGGCACCTGCAGGCAGCGAGCAGGGAGCTGCCATGGGGCAAAGGAGGGGGGGGGACGACACAGGGGGCACCCCCACGATGGCTTCCCGTTGTGGTGGGACCGACTCACCCAGTGCCGAGCAGGCGTCGAGCCGCCGGGCGACAGCACCGTCAGCCAGATCCAGGAGGAACCCCACAAGCAAGAGCCAGCAGGAGTGGTGGTGCTGCCTGGGGAGGGCAGGACCGGTGTCACCCCCCTCTCGTCACCCCCCTTTGTCACCTCCTTTCCCCCCCACACCGTGCTACCTGTTGAGGCTGCAGAGGATGGAGGAGAGCCCGGCCACCAGGTTGGCCACCGAGAGCCCGTTGGCAGCGTTCCTCCGGATGAATTCCAGCGCCCGGCTCCGATCCCGTCCCGTCCGCTCGCTCAGGAACAGCTTCTTGGTGGACTGGAAAACACCTGCGAGGCCCCGAGGCGGCGGTGACGGCCAGGCCAGCGCCACTTCCAAGCGGGGACTCATCGGAGCACCCCCTACCGCGATATACCAGCTTGGTGCCCCCCAACCCCTTCCAGCGCTTGGGAAGGGGCTGGAGGAGAGGTTTTGGGGGGTGCTGGCTGCTCCCCTCCTCCAAGCAGAGCCCCCAAAGCTCTTTAACAAGCCCGAGGTGGGGTTTTGGCAAAGCCCTGCCTCGCGCCGGCGGCGAGAAGAAAACCAGGTCAATGAGTTAAAACAAGCACAGGACTGAACAGGATGGATCAACACGAAGCCAAACCCCAGCTTAGACTAAACACCAACCCGGGTTTAAGCTCTATGGATCTTATATACCTATAGGCTAAGCTTTAGAGACAGAGTTTAAGGGTCATGTCCTACTAGCGGGCTTTGCCCCCTGCCTTTGCCGTGCTCCCAAAGCTGGTGAGATCCTTCATCTGAAAGAAAACAGGACGTCAGAGCAACACAAAAGCCACCCCCATCCCCTCAGCCCTCCCTGTACCCGCTCCCGGCAGAGCCGGGACCTGAGCATCACCAAAACGCCGCCAAAACCAGCTCCCTGGTGGTCAAACCCCCCCAAAAACCACCCCAAACCCCCCTGCAAACCCTTCAAACAAACCCTTTGTTGTAAGGAATTCCCAGTTTTGGGAATGCTGCTGGGGCTGGTGGCTGGTGACCTTTGGACACCGCACCCGAGCTGCCGGTACGGGCAGAGCCGGGCGGCTGGGGATGGAAAATCTCCCTTCCCGGCATCACAGCCTCGGCTTTCTCCGGCTCCGGTGGGATCTGCAGCTCCAAACCCGACCCTGGCACCGTCTGCCCCTGTTTCCCCCCGTGGTTGGGGTTATTTGGGTGGCTTTTGGGTGGCCAGAGGTGAAAAAGGGACAAAACGTGGCTTTGGGGCTCGCTGTCACTATCCCTCTGCTCCCCTGTCCCGAGCAGGATTGTTCTCGGTGCGGAGTTACCGGTAAGCATCACCGTGGCCGGGCATTGCCGTGGCGCCCATTGGCTCGTTTGGGCTGGTTTAGCCCCAAAAGAAAGGCTGGAGGGTGGGGGGGGGGGATGTTTGTGTGCCCCACACTTCCACCAGAGCCTTTTCTCCCTGTTTCTAGGGTGAAAACAGGCAGGTTTGGCTCATCCCGGGTGCGATACCGGGGTTGTGCAGTCTCACCCCTCCAGGACCGAGGGATCACCAGTGCAGAATTAACTCACTTTTGGGGCTCTTTCCTTGATTTTTACCTTTTCTGCCCCAATCCCCAGGGCAGTGCTCGAGCGACGACCCCTCATTTGCTGCTGAACCCCCAAAAGTGGGGATTGGGTGGGGATGGGGATCCCGGGGCGTCGCGGTGGCACTTACCGACCGGCGGTGACACCATCCACATGGCTGCGGCGCTGCCGAAGGGAAACTGAGGCCGGGACGGGAGCGGCGCTCACCGGGATCCCGGTGTTATATAAGGAAAAGCTCCGGCGGCTGAGTCACGCGGGGGTGGGTCCGGCCAGAGGACACGGACACAGGCATGGACATGGAGATGGACATGGGCAGACATGGAGATGGAGATGGGCACGGACATGGGCATGGATACAGGCGTGGACATGGGGTTTCAGAGGGGACTGGCACCCCCAGAGAAGGAGCAGCATCCGGGGGGGCTGTGCCGTGCTCATAGCACCCACACCATGCTCACAGTACCCATAGCAGGCTCACAGCACCCATAGCAGGCTGACAGCACCCATAGGCTGAGAGCACCCACACTATGCTCACAGTACCCATAGCAGGCTCACAGCACCCATAGCAGGCTGACAGCACCCATAGGCTGAGAGCACCCACTATGCTCACAGTACCCATAGCAGGCTGACAGCACCCACACCATGCTCACAGCACCCTTAGCAGGCTCACAGTATCCACACCATGCTCAAAGCACCCATAGCAGGCTGACAGCACCCACACCATGCTCACAGCACCCTTAGCAGGCTCACAGTACCCATAGCAGGCTGACAGCACCCATAGACTGAGAGCACCCACACCATGCTCACAGCACCCATTGCAGTCTCACAGTATCCACACCATGCTCACTGCACCCATAGCAGGCTGACAGCACCCACACCATGCTCCCAGCACCTGCACCATGCTCACTGCACCCATAGCAGGCTCACAGTACCCACACCATGCTCACTGCACCCGCACCATGCTCACAGCACCCACACCACGCTCACAGCACCCATAGCAGGCTCACTGCACCCATTCCACACCCACAGCACCTTTGCCAGCCTTGGAGCACCCTTAGCAGGCTCGCACCACCCCTGCCAGGCTCGCAGCACCCATTCCACACCCGCAGCACCCACGCCAGGCTCGCACTGCCCATGCCAAGCTCGCAGCACCCACGCCAGCCTCATAGCACCCATGCCAGGCTTGTAGCAGCCATGCTGTATGTGTGACACCCATGACCTACCAATAGCACCCATACCAAGCTTGTAGCGCCCATATTGCCCTCGCAGCACCCATACCATCTACATAGCACCCATGACAGGCTTGTACCACCCGTATCACCCTCGCAGCACCCATACCATCTACATAGCACCCATGACAGGCTTGTACCACCCGTATCACCCTCACAGCACCCATACCATCTACATAGCACCCATGACAGGCTTGTACCACCCGTATCACCCTCGCAGCACCCATACCATCTACATAGCACCCATGACAGGCTTGTACCACCCGTATCACCCTCGCAGCACCCATACCATCTACATAGCACCCTTGACAGGCTTGTACCACCCGTATCACCCTCGCAGCACCCATACCATCTACATAGCACCCTTGACAGGCTTGTACCACCCGTATCACCCTCGCAGCACCCATACCATCTACATAGCACCCTTGACAGGCTTGTACCACCCGTATCACCCTCGCAGCACCCATACCATCTACATAGCACCCTTGACAGGCTTGTAGCACCTATAGCAGACTCCCAGCAGCCATACCATGCCTGCAACATCCATCCGGGCTCACAGCACCCATACCATGCTCATGGCACCCATACCCTGCTCGTAGCACCCACATCATGCTCCCAGCACCCACACCACCCCCCAGGGCCTCTGTCAGGCAGCACCCACTTGTGCAAGGGCGTCACGAGTTGGTGCGGCCTCCGCCAGCCCCGCGCCGAGCAAAGGGCCGGCGTGTGCCGGGCGCTGCCGCCGGGACACCGCGGCGAGACCAAAGGTCCCCGGCACCCGCCACCGGGGCCAATAAAACGGAACAACAGGAATTTTCCACCCGGATCCCAATGGGAATTGCCGGGGTGGGGGGGGTTGGATCCGGAGCCCCCATCCCGGGGGTGCTGGGGGGTCCCGGGGTCACCGGTGAAAGGGCTCTTTGTTCCCCGGACACGCACCGGTGGTGGCGGTTGCGAAGCGACGGTGACGGCCATGAGGCGCCCGGAGGGGACCATCCCCGTGGCCTCGGGGCGCCTCAGGGGGCTCAGCCCCGGGGGGGACAGGGTTGGCACTGGGCGCCCGTCTCTGCAGCATTAAAGTGCATTGGGGTGCCAGCCCCTTTGGCGTCACGGTGCCCATCCCCGTGGCTTCAGGGCACCTCGGGGCGCCCGTCCCCGTGCTACCTGGGTGTCTCAGGGTGCCCATCCCCCTGGCTTCAGGGCCCAGTCCCTATGGTGCCTGCGTGTTTCTGGGTGCCCATCACTGTGGCACGGTGTCCGGGTGCCATCCACGTACTGTCTGGGCACCTCTGGGTGCCTGTCCTTGTGGCACCTGGGTGTGTCTGGGTGCCCATCCCCGTGGTATCTGGGTGGCCTTGGGTGCCCATCCCCCGTGGTGTCTGGGTGCCCATCCCCGTGACACTGGGGCGTGTCCTTGGGTGCCATCCCCGTGGCGTCTGGGTGTCTCTGGGTGCCTCTGGGTGCCCATCCCCGTGGTGTCAGAGCATCTCCGGGTGCTCCCTGTGCCTGCTCTGCCAGTGCCATCTGCTGGCACCCATCCTGCCCCAGGGAGCACTGGGACATGCATGTGCCAGGGCCATGGGGTCACCATCACCACCACGCTTGGGGCTGGCTTATGTTATGGGGGGGGGCCCAGCACCCCGATACCCCAGCACCATGGTACTGTGGTACCCTAGTGGCCTGGCATCCTGGTACCCAGCACCATGGCAACCCAACACCCCGGCACTATGGCACCCAGTGCCCTGGCACACCAGCACCATGGTAAGTCAGCCCCCTGGCACCATGGCACTGTGGTACCATGGCAGCCCGGTACCCCGGCACCCCAGCATCCTGCCATGCCAGAACTGTGGTACCCCACCACCATGGGCCCAAGTACACCAGTGCCCTGACATCACGGCATCCCATTTTCCCAGCATCCCAGCATTATGGCACCCATCACCCTGGTACACCAGCACCTTGGTGTATCGGCACCCCGGTACCTTTAGCACCCTGGAACACCAGCATCCTGGCACCACGGCACCACAGCACCTTAGTGCCTCAGCACACCAGCATGCCAGTGCCATGGTACCCCAAGACCCCAGTGCCCTGGCACCCTAGCACCCTGCCATCACGGTGTCCCATCTCCCCCGTCACCCCTCAGTGGTGCAGCCCCAAAAGTGGATCCGCAGTGAACACTTGGGTTCGGGACCATGCTGCAGCCCAGCGCTGAGACACCACCGGTGACACTGAGCACTGAGCTGTGCCCCCTGCAGCTGAGGGACACCCCCCCCAAGTCACCCCAGGGTATGGATGGGGGACAGGGCCATAGGGGTCCCAGTGTGTTCTGACCCCCTCACCAGTGGCACTCACATTGCAACCGGCCTTGGGGCTGTCAGTGCAGATCATGGTGTGAGGACACCCACCCATCTGTCACCCATCCATCACCCATCCATCCATCCATCCATCCATCCATCCATCCATCCATCCATCCATCCAACATCCAGCCATCCATCCAACATCCAGCCAGGGATGCACCCCTCCATGCACCCATCCTGCACCCAGCACCCTCGGCACCCATCCTGCACCCAGCACCCATCCATGCACCCATCCATGCACCCATCCGTCCATCCATCCATCCATCCATCCATCCATCCATCCATCCATCCATCCATCCATCCAACATCCAGCCAGGGATGCACCCCTCCATGCACCCATCCTGCACCCAGCACCCATCCATGCACCCATCCATGCATCCATTCTGCACCCACACCCTCCTGCACCATCCTGTTCTCATCCTGCACCCAGCACTCATCCATGCATCCATCCTGCACCCAGCACCCTCCTGCACTCATCCTGCACCCATCCTGCACCCAGCACCCCTCCTGCATACATCCTGCACCCATCCTGCACCCAGCACCCTCCTGCACCCATCCTGCACCTATCCTGCACCCAGCACCTCTCCTGCATACATCCTGCACCCAGCACCCATCCATGCACCCATCCTGCACCCAGCACCCTCCTGCATTCATCCTGCACCCATCCATGCACCCAGCACCCTCCTGCACTCATCGTGCACCCACCCTGCACCCTGCACCCATCCTGCACCCAGCACCCATCCTGCACCCAGCACCCCTCCTACACCCAGCACCCATCCACGAACCCACCCTGCACCCCCACCCCTATACCCCCCCGTTCCCCCTGTAGCCCCCGCCCTGCCCCATGTGCTCGGGGGCTGCCGGCTCCCACGGGCTCACTGGGGTCCCCCCCCCGCGTCCCCGCCGCAGTTCCTGGCGCTGCCCCAAGGTGTCCCCACGCACCCCCTGTCCCCGAGGGACTTCCCCAGCGGGGTCCCCGTTCCCAGGGGTGCCCCTATGGCAACCCGTGTCCCCGCCACGTGCACGCCCGTGTCCCATTGGTGCCCCCATTCACCCCCCCCCCCCCGTCCCCTACGGTGTCCCCATGTCCCATGGGTGGGAGCTCCCCTATGAGCCCCCAGGGGTGCCCTCCCGCACCCCACGTCCCCATGGAAGCTCACGGGGGTGTCCCCACGCCCCCCCCCCCTTATCCCATACCCCATCCCCCTTCCCCCCCCCGTGTCCCCGGGTGACTTCCCGCAGTTCCCCCCTTATCCCCCTGTCCCTTTAAAACTTCCCAGGGGTTTCCCCCCCTTTTCCCTTCCCCCCCCCCCCCCTTTGCGCGCTCCCGATGGGCCCCGCCCCACCGTGGTGTGTGTGGGGGGGGGGGGGTTGGAGGGGGTCAGACCGGGTGGGAGGGGCGGCCCCGGGGCGGCGGCGGCGGCGGCGCGCACGGAGCGGAGCGGGACGGAGCGGGACGGGCCCGGGCGCAGCGGGCGATGGGGCCGCGGGTACGGGCGGTGCTGGGCGCGCTCCTGGCGCTGTGCGCGCTGCCGCGGGTGAGTGCGGGGCTGCGGGGTTGGGGGGTCCCCCCCACCCCCCACCTTGACGTTCGCGTTCTTCCCCCCCCCCCCCCTCCCCCCTTTCAATCATGGAGTTCGCGCCCTCCCCCCTCCTCCGGAGGTCGCTTTCGCATCCCAGAGTTGGGGTCCCCCCTCCTTGGATCGGGGTCTCCGGGGTTGGGGTCCCGCACGGAGCCCGTGGACTGCGGGTTCCCCCATGGATTGGGGCCCTAAAGGAGTTGGACCCCCGCTTCTTACACCCCCCCCCCCCCACCGTGGTGTTCGTGTCCCATTGTGGAGTGTGGGTGCCGCCCGGAGTTATTTGGGGTCTCCTAAAGGAGTTGGGGAGCTCGCGTTCCCCCCATAGAGTTCGTGTCAGCTCCCGCACTTGGGGTCCTTGGAGGAGTTAAGGGCCCCCCCGGAGGTCAGGTCCCGCCGTGAGCTTTGCCCCCCTCCCACCCTTTGGGTCCCGCCGCTAATTGGGGTCCCCTGAGCAACTTGGGGACCCCCCCTCCCCGAAGTTCGGGTCCCCCGAAGCATTTGGGATCCCCTTAAAGTATTTGGGGAGGTTGCGCTGAGCCCAAAGGAAATTTGGGGTCCCCCCCCTCTGTACATGAGGCCGCGGGGTCCCCCCGTGCTCTGCTTCCCAAGGGAATTGGGGTGTTTCCCCCCCCCCCCCCCCCCGACCCGAGGCACGGCTCCCTCCTGGAATCGGGGTCCCCCGGGGCACAGGATGCGGGGTTCGCAGCCCCGAAGGTATTGGGGGGTGCCCCCCCCCCAGCACCAAGTCTTGGGGTCCCCATCCCCATGCCCTGCCCCCTTGGGGTCCCCTGAACTGAGCAGGCGGGGGGGGGGGGTCCCGCAGGGCCTTGGGGTCCCCCGGGGGCACACGAGGTCACAGGGCCCTGCCCCTCCAGGGGTGGGGGGTCCCCACCGCCCCCCTTCGCTCTGGGTGGGGGGGTCCTATAGGGATGCGCTGTGATTTTGGGGTGCTGCCCCCCCCTTCCTGCCCCCCCATCACCCCCCCCCCCCCCCCGCCCCGTCTATATTTAAAGGTGACGGGTGGCGCCGGCCACCCTAAAAATAACCCACCCAAAATACCCCCCCTCGGGAGGGGGGGCAAGTCTGGGGGTGCCCCTGGGGATGGGGGGGTCCACAGCGTGGGGGGGTGGGGGCCAGTGACACCTCGGGGTGCCCCCTTTGGGGGTTCAGGGTGGGTTTGCGCCGTGGGGCTCTGCACCCCCTATTTGAGGGGTGGGGGCCCTAAACTGGGGAGAGGGGGTGATGGTGATGTGTGAGGGGGGGATGACGATGTGAGGGGGCCCCCCCCATGGCGGGGGGGGGGCGGTTTGGGGCTGATTCGGTGCCCGGCGCTGGGAACAGAGGGGGCCTTGTGCTGGGGCCATGCTGGCAGGGCTGCCCCCCCGCCGCCATGGGGCCCGCACCCACGTCCCAAGGGGGGGGGGGGGGGGTGATGCGGACAAAGAAGGGGGGGGGTCATCACCCCATTTATCACCTCCCCCCCAGCCCCATTCCTCTATGGGGCTGGGGACACCCTGATGCGCTGGCACCCCCATAACCCCCACCCGGGGCGCGGTGCTGAGGAATGTGCCCCCCCCCCCCGGGATAACCGCAGTGTTGGGGGGGGGACAAAGGGGGGGATCCCCACTCCCCCTATGGGGGGGTCCCGTGTGGGGCTCCCCCTCCCCAAGGGCTGCTAAGGGTTAATGTCGGGGGGGGGGGGGGGGGGTGCGGGCGCGGCTGGAATGTGCGATAAGATCATCAACCCTGGGGGGGCGAAGGGGGGGGGATGGGGTGTTGTGCCCTTCCCCCCCCCCTTGGGGATACTTTGGGGTCCGTTCCCCCCCCCATCCGCACGTGGCTCCACTCTCCCCCATCGCCAAAGATGGCCCGGGCCGGGAGGAGGAGGAGGAGGAGGGGGGGGGGAGGAAGGGCAAGGAGGGGGGGGGCAGCTCCGAGTCCCCTCGGCTCGCCCCGGGGCGTTCCCGGTCGCCCCCCCCATCCCAACCGCCCGAGCGGCTCTTTCGGGATAAATTAGGCAATGCCAGCGGCGAGGAATGCGGCGGGGGGGGGGGGGGGGGAGGAAGTTTTGGGGCCCCCCCGGGAGCCGCTTTGACCCCGCAGCTGTTTCACCCCCAAACCTCTGGGGGCCGTGGGGGGGTGAAGCAGCTGTGACCCCCCCCCCACGCCTCCGGGAGCAGCATCCCACCATCTGTGCTGGCACCGACCCCCCCATAGCGAGCATGGGGGGGCCCGCGCCCCCCCAAAATCCTGGGATGGGGAGGCTGGTCCCGGGGGGGGGGGAAACGGGGATTTTGGGGGGAACCACCTTTTCCATGCGACCTTGGGGGAACAATAAGGCTGGGGGGGGGGCGGCTATTAATAACCCCCCCCCGGGTATTATTCCTGGTGTGCGTCACCTCCTCTTCCTCGGCCGGATGAAGTAATGGGGGGAGCGGCCAGATTGGGGGGGGGAAGTTCAGATCTGGGAGGGAATGCCCGGATTTGGGGTGGAATGTCCGGAGTTTTGGGGGCTATGTCAAGATTTGAGATGAAATGTCCGGATTTGGGGGTTTATGTCCCGATTTGGGGTGAAATGTCCAGATTTAGGGGTGGAATGTCCAGATTTAGGGGTGGAATGTCCAGATTTAGGGGTGGAATGTCCATATCTGGGGGGCTATGTCCAGATTTGGGTGAAATGCCCACATTTTGGGGGTTATGTCCAAAACTGGGGTGGAATGGCCGGATTTGGGGTGAAATGTGGAGATTTGAGGTGAAATGTCCAGATTTGGAGTGAAATGTCCAGGTTTGGGGGTGGAATGTCCAGATTTGGTGGGTTATGTCCAGATTTGAAGTGAAATGTGCAGATTTGGGGTGAAATGTCCAGATTTGGAATGAAATGTCCCGGTTTGGAGTGAAATGTCCTGATTTGAGGTGGAATGTGCAGATTTGGGCTGGAAGGTGCAGATTTGGGGTGGAATGTCCAGATTTGGGGGGTTATGTCCAGATTTGGGGGGTTATGTCCAGATTTGGGGTGAAATGCCCCGATTTGGAATTAAATGTCCCGATTTGGGGTGGAATGTGCAGATTTGGGATGGAAGGTGCAGATTTTGGGGGGGGAATGTCCAGATTTGGTGGGTTATGTCCAGATTTTAAGTGAAATGTGCAGATTTGGGGTGAAATGTCCCGATTTGAAGTGAAATGTCCCGATTTGGGGTGGAAGGTGCAGATTTGAAGTGAAATGTCCTGATTTGGGGTGGAAGGTGCAGATTTGGGGTGGAAGGTGCAGATTTGGGGTGAAATGTGCATATTTGGGGTGAAATGTCCCGATTTTGGGTGGAAGGAGCAGATTTGGGGTGAAAGGTGCAGATTTTGGGTGGAAGGTGCAGATTTGGGGTGGAAGGTGCAGGTTTGGGGTGTCAGGTACAGAATTGGGGTGGAAGGTGCAGATTTGGGGTGAAATGTCCCGATTTTGGGTGGAAGGTGCAGATTTGGGGTGGAAGGAGCAGATTTGGGGTGTCAGGTGCAGGTTTGGGGTGAAATGTCCCTATTTTGGGTGGAAGGTGCAGATTTGGGGTGGAAGGTGCGGATTTGGGGTGAAATGTCCCTATTTGGGGTGAAATGTCCCTATTTGGGGTGAAATGTCCCTATTTTGGGTGGAAGGAGCAGATTTGAGGTGGAAGGTGCAGATTTGGGGTGAAATGTCCCTATTTGGGGTGAAATGTCCCTATTTGGGGTGAAATGTCCCTATTTTGGGTGGAAGGAGCAGATTTGGGGTGGAAGGTGCAGATTTGGGGTGTCAGGTGCAGATTTGGGGTGAAATGTCCCTATTTTGGGTGGAAGGTGCAGATTTGGGGTGGAAGGTGCAGATTTGGGGTGTCAGGTGCAGATTTGGGGTGAAATGTCCCTATTTTGGGTGGAAGGTGCAGATTTGGAGTGGAAGGTGCTGATTTGGGGTGAAATGTCCATATTTTGGGGTGGAAGGAGTAGATTTGGGGTGGAAGGTGCAGATTTGGGGTGAAATGTCCCTATTTTGGGTGAAATGTCCCTGTTTTGTGTGGAAGGAGCACGTTTGGGGTGGAAGGAGCATGTCTGGGGTGTCTGGGGGCTCTGGGTCCCCGCTCTGTGCGGGTCTCACCGCGGTGCCGGGGTCAGGTCCGTGCCCGCTGCTGGCGGCACCGGGAGCCGCTTCCTCCCCCCCGCGCTCCCCCGGGTGCGGGGCAGGATCTGGGCTGGGAGCGGAAAAAGTGAAGCGGCGGCGGCAGCGTCCGGGAGGGGGCGGGGGGGGGGTGTCCGGTGCGGGGAGCTTCCGGTAATGGGAGCCGGGACTGGGTGAGGGAGGGAGAGAGAGAGAGTGTGAGTGTGAGTGTGTGTGTGTGTGTGTGTGAGTGTGCGAGTGTGTGTGTGAGAGTGTGTGTGTGTGTGACTGTGTGAGTGTGAGTGGTGTGTGTGTGTGTGAGTGTTGAGTGTGTGTGTGTGTGTGACTGTGTGTGTGTGAGTGTGTGTGTGTGTGTGAGTGTGTGTGTGTGTGAGTGTGTGTGTGTGTGACTGTGTGAGTGTGAGTGTGTGTGTGTGTGAGTGTGAGTGTGTGTGTGTGTGACTGTGTGTGTGTGAGTGGTGTGTGTGTGTGTGAGTGTTGAGTGTGTGTGACTGTGTGTGACTGTGTGTGTGTGAGTGGTGTGTGTGTGTGTGAGTGTGTGTGTGACTGTGTGTGACTGTGTGTGACTGTGTGTGTATGTGAGTGTGTGAGTGTGAGAGTGTGTGTGAGTGTGATTGTGAGAGTGTGTGTGTGTGAGTGTGTGTGTGAGTGTGTGTGACGAGTGTGTGTGTGAGTGTGTGACTGTGAGTGTGTGTGTGACTGTGTGTGACTGTGTGACTGTGTGTGTGACTGTGTTGAGTGTGTGTGTGTGAGACTGTGTGTGTGTTTAAGTGTGTGTGTGTGACTGAGTGAGTGTGTGTGTTTGAGTGTGTGTGTGAGTGTGAGTGTGTGTGTGAGTGTGTGATTGTGTGTGTGTGATTGTGAGTGTGGTTTTGAGAGTGTGTGTGTGTGATTGTATGAGTGTGTGTGACTGTGATTGTGTGTGTGAGTGTGTGAGTGTGTGTGTGATTATGAGTGTTTGTGTGTGTGTGTCTGTGACTGTGACTGAGTGTGAGTGTGTGGCTGTGTGCGTGTGACTGAGTGTGCGTCTGTGACTGAGTGTGTGTGATTGTGTGTGTGTAACTGTGTGTGATTGTGTGTGCGAGTGTGTGTGTCTCTGTGTGTGTGATTGTGTGTGCGAGTGTGTGTGATTGTGTGTGATTGTGAGTGTGTGTGAGTGCGAGTGTGAGCGTGCATGTGTTTTTGTGAGTGTGTGCGTGTGTGAGTGTGAGTGTGTGAGTGTGTGTGTATGTGTGTGACTGAATGTGCGTGTGTGAGAGTGTATGTGTGTGTGTGTGTGTGTGTGTGCTTGTCCGGATGGGGCTGAGCACAGACACGCTCTGTGCATGGGTGTGGGAGCAATGTCTGTGTGAGCACGCACACACTCAGTGCCCGTGTGTAGGTTGATGGCCGAGCACAGACGCTCTCATTGCACGTGTGTGGGGCTGTAGCAGAGGACCCACACGCTCGGTACGTGCATGGGGGGGTGAAGGCAGAGCCCAGGCACCCTCAGTGCATGCATGGGTGGATGATGGCTGAGCACCCACACTCCTGATCCCGGTGTTGGGTCCATGGCTGAGCACCCATGGTGCATGGATGGGGGGGGCAGCAGCTGAGCACCCACAAGCTCAGCGCGCGCGTGGGCTCCTCCGTGCCTCAGTTTCCCCCTTTGCCCCCCCCAAGCACCCAGGGCTGGGCTGGCACCCACGGACACCCCCCCCCCCCCCCGAGCCAGACCCCCTTGGGGTGCGGGTTCCTCTCATGTCCCCCTCATGTCCCCCCTTTACCCCTCCCTGTCCGTCCCCCCCCGCCCCACATTAATCCCCCAGCACTTGTTTGCTCAGAAAGTGCTGCCCAGACGGATTCCTGACCGCGGCGCGGGGGCACCGGCCGGGGCTGCACACGTGTGTGCGCAGGCGTGGGGCGATGAGTGATGCACACGTGTGTGCGCAGGCGTGGGGCGATGAGTGATGCACACGTGTGTGCGCAGGCGTGGGGCGATGAGTGATGCACACGTGTGTGCGCAGGCGTGGGGCGATGAGTGATGCACGCGCATGTGCAGGCGTGGGGCGATGAGTGATGCACACGTGTGTGCGCAGGCGTGGGGCTATGAGTGATGCACGCGCATGTGCAGGCGTGGGGCGATGAGTGATGCACACGTGTGTGCGCAGGCGTGGGGCGATGAGTGATGCACACGCATGTGCAGGCGTGGGGCAATGAGTGATGCACACGCATGTGCAGGCGTGGGGCGATGAGTGATGCACACGCATGTGCAGGCGTGGGGCGATGAGTGATGCACACATGTGTGCGCAGGCGTGGGGCGATGAGTGATGCACACGCATGTGCAGGCGTGGGGCGATGAGTGATGCACACGTGTGTGCGCAGGCGTGGGGCGATGAGTGATGCACACGCATGTGCAGGCGTGGGGCGATGAGTGATGCACACGCATGTGCAGGCGTGGGGCGATGAGTGATGCACACGCATGTGCAGGCGTGGGGCGATGAGTGATGCACACGCATGTGCAGGCGTGGGGCGATGAGTGATGCACACGTGTGTGCACAGGCGTGGGGCGATGAGTGATGCACACGCATGTGCAGGCGTGGGGCGATGAGTGATGCACACGTGTGTGCGCAGGCGTGGGGCGATGAGTGATGCACACGCATGTGCAGGCGTGGGGCGATGAGTGATGCACACGTGTGTGGGCAGGCGTGGGGCGATGAGTGATGCACACGTGTGTGCGCAGGCGTGGGGCGATGAGTGATGCACACGTGTGTGCGCAGGCGTGGGGCGATGAGTGATGCACACGTGTGTGCGCAGGCGTGGGGCGATGAGTGATGCACACGCATGTGCAGGCGTGGGGCGATGAGTGATGCACACGTGTGTGCGCAGGCGTGGGGCGATGAGTGATGCACACGTGTGTGCGCAGGCGTGGGGCGATGAGTGATGCACACGTGTGTGCGCAGGCGTGGGGCGATGAGTGATGCACACGTGTGTGCGCAGGCGTGGGGCGATGAGTGATGCACACGTGTGTGCGCAGGCGTGGGGCGATGAGTGATGCACACGCATGTGCAGGCGTGGGGCAATGAGTGATGCACACGCATGTGCAGGCGTGGGGCGATGAGTGATGCACACGCATGTGCAGGCGTGGGGCGATGAGTGATGCACACATGTGTGCGCAGGCGTGGGGCGATGAGTGATGCACACGCATGTGCAGGCGTGGGGCGATGAGTGATGCACACGTGTGTGGGCAGGCGTGGGGCGATGAGTGATGCACACGCATGTGCAGGCGTGGGGCAATGAGTGATGCACACGCATGTGCAGGCGTGGGGCGATGAGTGATGCACACATGTGTGCGCAGGCGTGGGGCGATGAGTGATGCACACGCATGTGCAGGCGTGGGGCGATGAGTGATGCACACGTGTGTGCGCAGGCGTGGGGCGATGAGTGATGCACGCGCATGTGCAGGCGTGGGGCGATGAGTGATGCACACGTGTGTGCGCAGGCGTGGGGCGATGAGTGATGCACGCGCATGTGCAGGCGTGGGGTGATGTGTGACGTACACGCGTGTGTGCAGGTGTGGGGCGATGTGCGGGGCACATGTATGTGTGCAGGTGTGGGCTGATGGGTGCACACGTGTAGCAGTGTGAATGCGTGTGCACAAGCACATCCCTGTGTCACACGTGTGGATAGTGGTGCTGATACATGTGCACAGCATGTGTCAGTGTGCACACACATCCCTGTGTCACATGTGTAGGTAGTGGTGCATGTGCACAGCATGTGTCAGTGTGCACGCACATCCCTGTGTCACACATGTGGATAGTGGTGCTGATACATGTGCACAGCATGTGTCAGTGTGCACACCCATCCCTGTGTCACACATGTGGATAGTGGTGCATGTGCACAGCGTGTGTCAGTGTGCACACACATCCCTGTGTCACACGTGTGGATAGTGGTGCTGATACATGTGCACAGCATGTGTCAGTGTGCACACACATCCCTGTGTCACACATGTGGATAGTGATGCTGATACATGTGCACAGCATGTGTCAGTGTGCACACCCATCCCTGTGTCACACGTGTGGATAGTGATGCTGATACATGTGCGCAGCATGTGTCAGTGTGCACACCCATCCCTGTGTCACACGTGTGGATAGTGGTGCTGATACATGCGCACAGCATGTGTCAGTGTGCACACCCATCCCTGTGTCACACGTGTGGATAGTGATGCTGATACATGTGCACAGCATGTGTCAGTGTGCACACCCATCCCTGTGTCACACGTGTGGATAGTGGTGCTGATACATGCGCACAGCATGTGTCAGTGTGCACACCCATCCCTGTGTCACACGTGTGGATAGTGATGCTGATACATGTGCGCAGCATGTGTCAGTGTGCACGCACATCCCTGTGTCACACGTGTGGATAGTGATGCTGATACATGTGCACAGCATGTGTCAGTGTGCACGCACATCCCTGTGTCACACATGTGGATAGTGATGCTGATACATGTGCACAGCATGTGTCAGTGTGCACACCCATCCCTGTGTCACACGTGTGGATAGTGATGCTGATACATGTGCACAGCATGTGTCAGTGTGCACACACATCCCTGTGTCACACGTGTGGATAGTGATGCTGATACATGTGCACAGCATGTGTCAGTGTGCACACCCATCCCTGTGTCACTACACACGGATACTGGTGTGGATACATACCCATGGCCATGTGTCAGCGTGCACCCCATGTGTGTGCACACGCGTGTGCCGGTGCCGTGCGCCGGCACCCACCGGCGCTGTTGCGTGTCCCCAGGGCAGCCGGGGCCTGGCCGAGAGCTCCTTCCCCGAGGACACGGTGTCCGACCACGTCGGGGGCACGCGGGGACACCGCTTCTACCGGCACCTCTCCGATGACGAGGACCTGGTGGCGTCCGGCGGTAAGGGGGGACCGAGGGTGGCACCGGCGTGGCGGCGGCACCGCGGGTGCCGAGCGCTCTGTGCCCATTGCACCGGGGCCCTGGTGGCATCCAGCAGTAAGGGGGCAATGGGGGGGTGTCACTATGGATGGGTGCCACCAGGGTGGGTGTCACCGGGGGTGCCACTGGCTCAGTCCCCATTGCAGATGGCACCGGGGACCTGGTGGCATCCAGCGGTAAGGGGACAATGGGTGAGCGGATGGCACCATGGGTGGGTGCCACCAGGGCTCAGTGTCACCATGGGTGGGTGCACTGGGGGTGGGTGCCACTCACTGTCCCCATGCAAATGGCACCAGGGACTTTGTGGCATCAGGTGGGTGGGTGTCCCCGTGGCTGGATGTCACCATTGGTGCTCTGTCACGCTGTCCCCATTGCAGACAGCACTGGGGTGGCATCCAGGGTAAGGTGGCAGTGGGTGGGGGGGTGTCACCCTGATGGGTGTCACCGTGTCTGGGTGTCACCCTGGTGCCACCCTTGCTGTCCCCATTGCAGATGGCAGCGGGGAGGACGGCAGCGGCGCACCATGGCCGAGCGCTACCCACGTGCCCAGCGTGGGGCTGGCACCCACTGGTAAGGGGGCACCGAGGGGTGGCTCCCTGTCCCCCGCCTGTCACCGCGCTCAAGCTCTGTCTTCTCCATCCTCCTCTTCCTCTTCTTCCTCTTCCTCCTCCTCCTTCTCGGGCAGCGCCCGGGCCCCCCCCTGTGCCTGCGGGGATGGTGGTGGCCGAGGACGAGCCCCCACTGAGTAAGTGACACCTTGGGGGACCCCCCCCTGTTGCACCCCCAAGTGTATCCCCGGTGTTCCTTGGGGGGGGGGATGTGGGTAAATATGGGGTCACAGCTGGATATGGGGGTTGCAGATGCATATGGGGAGGTTATAGCTGAATATGGGGAGGTTATAGCTGAATATGGGGGAGTCACAGCTGGATATGGAGATTACAGCTGGATATGGGGGGTCACAGCTGGATATGGGGCGTCACGGTCTGGATATGGGGAGTCACAGCTGGATATGGGAATTAAAGCTGTATAGGAAGGTTACAGCTGGATATGGTGGGGTCACAGCTGGGTATGGGGATTACAACTGGATATGGGGGGGTCACAGCTGGATATGGGGGGGTCACAGCTGGATATGGGGGGGGTCACAGCTGGATTATGGGGATTACAACTGGATATGGGGGGTTACAGCACGGGTATGGAGGGTCACAGCTGGATATGGCGTCACAGCTGGATATGGGGGTCACAGCTGGATATGGGAATTAAAGCTGTATAGGAAGGTTACAGCTGGATATGGTGGAGTCACAGCTGGGTATGGGGGGGTCACAGTCTGGATATGGGGATTACAACTGGATATGGGGAGTCACAGCTGGATTATGGGGATTACAACTGGATATGGGAGGTTACAGCATGGGTATGGGGGGTCACAGCTGGATATGGCGTCACAGCTGGATATGGGGGTCACAGCTGGATATGGGGATTACAGCTGAATATGGGCAGTCACATCTGGTTATGGGGGTCACAGCTGGATATGGGGTCACAGCTGAATATGGGCAGTCACATCTGGTTATGGGGGTCACAGCTGGATATGGGGATTACAGCTGAATATGGGCAGTCACATCTGGTTATGGGGGTCACAGCTGGATATGGGGTCACAGCTGAATATGGGCAGTCACATCTGGTTATGGGGGTCACAGCTGGATATGGGGTCACAGCTGAATATGGGCAGTCACATCTGGTTATGGGGTGACGGGGGGGTATTTTTTGGGGTGCAGGTGCCTGTTTCTGACACCCCCCCCCGTTTCTTCCCCCCCCCCAGTTTACTTCCGGGCGCTGGTGAACTTCACCCGCAGCATCGACTACAGCCGGCGCCTGGAGGACCCCGACTCCGAGGAGTTCCGGGAGATCTCGGAGGCCGTGGTGGATGCGGTCAGTTTAGGGGTGCTGGGGGGGGGGGGGGGCACCCATAGGAGCACCCTGACCCCCCTTGTTCTGCCCCCCCCACCCCTCAGCTGGAGTCCGAGTATTACAAGGTGCCCGGGGAGCAAATGGTCAGCGTGGTGTTCATCAAGTGAGATTTGGGGGGTCTGGGGGGGGGTTGGGGGGCAAGGGAGGGCTGGGGTGGTTTGGGGGTGCAGGAGAGATTGGGATGGGGAGGATTGGGAGGGTTTGGGGTGTGTGTGGGGTGGATTTGTGCTGGGGAGTCTGGGGATCTAAAGGGGGATGGAGAGGTTTGGGGTGCAGGGGGTATTATGGGGATGGGGAGGTTTAGAGGGAGTTATGGAGGAGTTTTGGGGTGCAAGGGGGGGTTTGGGCTGGTGAGTTTGGGGGTGCAGGAGAATGGGGGGGGCGCAGAGAGGTTTTTGGGGGGTGGGGTGTTGCCGGGGGTTGTTTGAGGGTGATGGGGATGTCTTGGGGATGCTGTGGGGGTTTTGGGGGTGCCGGGGATGTTTGTGGGTGCCGGGGGGGGGTTATGGGTGGCTGGTTTATGGGCTCAGGGTGGGTTTTGGGGTGCTGACCCCCCTTTGCCCCCCCCAGGGAGCTGGAGGGTGACGTGTTCGTGGAGCTGGACGTGGGCTCGGAGGGCAACGGGGACGAGCAGCAGCTCGGGGGGGTCCTGCGGGACCTCCTGGCCGGGGGCTCCATTGCCTCCTACGTCACCTCCCCACATGGCTTCCAGTTCCGGCGCCTGGGGGCCGGTCAGTGCCTGGGGGGGGCGGTGGTTGTGGGGCTCAGACCCCCCCATATCAACCCATGCCATGTCACGGTGTGCCTTGACGCCCCCCCCATAGCCGTTGGGGGCTGTTGGGGTTCACACTGACCATATTCCCCCCCCCCCCCATCACAGTGACCCCCCATCCACGGCCCTGCACCGCCGCGGAGTTCACGTGCGGCAGCGGCGACTGCGTCCCCGGCGAGTACCGGTGCGACCGGCGGCACGACTGCCGCGACGGCTCCGATGAGCTCGGCTGCGGTGAGACCCCATAGCCCCCATGGCACCCCCATACCCCCCTGTGCCCCACAGACCTGCTGCAGCCCCAGACCCCCCCACCCATTCCCCCCTGTAACCCCCCTTATTACCCTCCCTAAGCCCCATACCCCCCCAAAGTGCATCCCTTATTTCCCCTTATAAGCCCCTCAGCACCCCCATATCCCACATAACCCCCCCATTTCTCCTTCTGCAATCTGATTTTCCCCTATCCCACATAAACCCTTTGCACTGCACCCCCCTCTAATCCCCCATGCAA